TCCTGAAAAACCTTCCACAAAATTTGAACCAAACAAACGAAAGACACTATTACATACTTATTTGATGACAGTGATGACTTTGATGGATTGTGTTTAATGTCCAGTGGCAAATATTACATGCATGTCAGGACGAGAACAGGTTGATGTGATATGATAAGAACCTTGCTTTATACTTGAACAAGCTGAGCCGGAATTTTTGTAGTGTGTTAGTTCAGAAGGTAACAGTTTGCAGGAAGGCAAGTCACACTACAAGGACACAATATTCCGACTCTTATCCCTCCTTGTTTACTCTTATTCCAAAATGACTAAGGCTTTGCGAAAAAGCAGCAAATAGCAATTTTCAAGTATTTGATTTCACTTATCCTAAGACCTCCAAGACTCAAGTAGAGCACGCTATTACAAGACCATCAAGACAGTTTACATCTTTGATATTTTGTATAGTATACAATGTCTCTTTAAAAGAGGGACACCTGCAATGACCATTCCATCATAAAACTAGTACTCTGGTGATTTCAGGGAATATGTTGAAGGGATCTTGGTTGAAAATTTATAGCACAAAATAGGTACTGTCTTGTGTAAATCTTGTTGAAAAATTACACAGATACCCAAGTTTAGAAAACTATGATCCTCCATCAATTCTATGATAGCTGGTGCACAACTTCAAAATGTGTCCCATCTTTCTGTGATAGTAACTTGTAGGAGGAGCTTATTTCATAAAACTGATACCCGCTTTTGTAAATTTGCTGATATTTCAATTCTTTGATTTTACCCAGACATGGATAGAACAATAGCCATCTTGCACTAGAATCACTGTACCAAGAGATTATCAAAGTGGTTCAGACATCTTTAATATTTTATGCAGCACAATATATCAATAGAAGGGACACCTACAGTGACCATTCAACTTTAATACTAGTATTCTGATTATTTCAGAGAACATGTTGAAAATATGATACAATCATATACTATCAATATCATGGCATAAAATGTTCTTATGATTATCATTAATTTCATAATAATCTTACAATGGTGTTAGGCAATGGTCAGTAAAGATAAGGAAATGATGAGTTCTCCTTGGTCCTATATGGGTTCCAATTGTTTTTATTTTCATGTTTACCTGATTGTACCTTGACTTTAACTCGGCACATCAACTTCATATTTCATACAAGCTACATTCAATTATATACAATTCTAGGAAGTAGAATAGATGACTTGCAAATTCGTGCATTTTTCTGTACATTTCCATTGTCCTTTAGTTATGTTATTTCATAATAGCAAATAACCAATTGTTCCACAACAGGGGCGTAGCTACCCGGAGGCACGACAGCACGTGCATCCACGTCGTTTTCACAAAAAAAAAAAAAAAAAAAAAAAAACAGAGAGAGAGAGACGGACAAAGTTAACATATAGGAATTGGCCAATCGGGCAGAGTGGGAGGGGTATTAATGTGATGCATCTATTAACTTAATCTTATTAATAAATGCAAGTTAACCCTGGAAATTAAGACGTAATTTCAAAAGCACCTTCCAGGTGTGTTAAATGCAGAAATTATATGTCACATCGAAACAGTTCATAAATGAATATGCGTTTGAGTCCTTACAATAATTCTATTGATATGAAACGATTTACAGACACACTTAGTGATATTCTTTGTGGTATGTGAACCCCATCCCCCAAACACACACACAAAATCAGACGAAAAGTTGAAGTAGCAGGTGCCCAACTTCAAGAATCAATGCCAGTTTCTGGGAATTCCATCCATTTGTTTTCAAGGAGTTGAGGCAATATGTATTCATAAGCGAATTTAGATGATCTAGTTGACAGAGGCCTAGAGCATTTTTGGCGAAAAAATATGACGATATCCTTACAAATTAGGCGATACAAAAACGTTTGTATTCATAAGCATAAAATAGCACAACTTAGTAACAAATTATTTTCTTTAAATCAATATCTGTATTCAATGGAAATGAGATTGCAAAAACGGGATTTTTAAATTGCGTACTGGATATGCACTTTACTGAATTAGCACCGTTATTCCTGCTTCCCTCTGTGTCACACAATCGTATAAAAAAATCAACAGTACGGGATTAGCAAATAAGAATACAGCTTAGGGGTTTGAACTATTTTTAAACTGGCTACAAAAACAAATAATCATGATTCATTTCTTTAAACTTCTTCAAAACAAAAAGAGTTTTCATATTTACATGTCGACTTTAGCCAGGACGCTACCTCTAATTTCCAAAACAGCACCTCAGAATTGAACATACAGCGGTTGCCTCCAATTTTCAAGTTGTAATGTTATCTATATATATATTTTCGGGAAGAGAGAGGGATGTGAGAGAGAGAGATGATTTCTTAAACAAGAAAATTATGCCCAATATTGAACAGCAGTTTCATTAAGAATCCATGATGTCAGTTTTTCAACATCTTATACTAGTATAAAAAAAATGAGGTAAAATCATGCATCTTTATATAACAATTATCTGATCTTATATACCAAACAGGCATTTGATTCACGATTGCATTTCTTTTTTTAAAGAAAGCAACTTGTTTATTATACTGTTTGGTAGTCGTCCAGTTGCAAATATTTCATGCATATTCCAGACAAGAACAAAATAATACGTAGGTTATTTGATCACGGTACGGCGGAAATTTGGTCTACTGCTGTCGGAAGTGTGTCTATTGAGTAAGTACAGAAATTTCCCCTTGTAACTTGTCAGCTAAGCACGGACCACTAAGCACTGAAGTTGTTCAAGTTGTGTCAGAAAATAAATATATGACTATTTCTATGTAGATTCAAATCAGGTTGCCGTAATGAAATCTAGATATCAGGTGTACGTCCGTTTATGACAGTTTCGCTTGTTAGTTCGTATTTAAGACTTCGATTCAATCTGATTGATTGTCTTATATGTATATGCTAACAGAAACTCCACATGCAGTATTGTGTTTATGTTTATTGTTTGTTATTTTATAGACATACTTTGCTCAATACAAATACAAGCATATGGAACAAATCTCCGTGATTTTAAAAGCTCTCACGGCGTTCAAAAAAAGCAAACGACAATGTTAAGTCTTCATTCGACTCTAAGTTTAACAAATAGTTGACCAAAAAACCACAACAAAAATGTACAAGTTTTATTACGGTTGTGATTGTTTTGAAACGCTATATATGCGGAGCTTCCGGGGGCTTCGCCCCCTGGCCCCCTATCAGGGCTGTGCCCTGGACCCACTGGGGGCCTTAGGTAGCCCCCGTATCCATCGCCCTTTAGTTTGTGATTCCAGTTCAGTAAGAAGGTAGCTACGCCCCTGCACAAGGTCATTTTCACCGATTTACCTCATGTAAACCAGCGTAATTCATTCATTAAATAGAAGTCTAAATAGGGCTATACTGTTTCATCATCTCAAATAACCTGACAAAATTAGAAATTATATTAAATATAATAGTTACTAAATGATGTGTAATATAATGATAACTTCTAGGGGCGGATCCAGGATTTTGGAAAGGGGGGGCGTAGTATGTAAAGTTCGCCGAGCGGAGTGAGGCGAAATTTTTTTTTACCTTTTTTGGGATAAAAAACATAAAATAAATGTAAAATGCACATTTTTAACGATTCCTGACGTGGGGCATGTATATTTTATAGGACATTTTTGATTCCGCATTCTCCCCATTAATTGTCTATTATAAAATGATTGAAAGGATCCAAAGCTATGTACTAATATATTTGATGTGGGATTTGTCAGTAAAAAATGGACATTGAAAATTCTCATTTGTTGTATGGTTAATAAGCATAACCTCACAGATTTCTTGTTGTAAACATGATATACGGCTATTCAATGAAGTTTATAATACGACCGACACGAACAAAGACAAACAAGAAATTTTTATCCAAATGTTTGGTTGAAATGTTTCACCCAACAAGGGAAGTGAGGGGTTCCAAATCAACCAAAGGCTACGAATGAGTCTGAAAATCAAATGCCAACGAAGTTGTGAATGACGGTCGACAAATGGAGACATAAAGGCCACACCCAGCAGGCAGGTTGCAGTTGGGCCTTGAAAAAGTATTCAGTATATCAGTTCGGCGAAACAGACATTCCGGTCAGATATGGGATTTACATGCAAACCCCCCAAAAAAATTACGCCCGTTTTTTGTTCACCACGTTCATTTAATGCCGAATAATTTTGTTGGATTTTTTTTTCTTATTTCAAAAAAGGGGATAATTGTTTTCAATACAGATACGGCCAGAACTTTTGTTTAAGGCAAAAATCAGGGTCAAAATTTGTTCTCTAAAATATCTCAGACTGCCCTATCAAATCAAATGGTCCGTACCTTAGACTTTAAATCTATCTAGAGCTTACTGACTGGGGATCATTATTCAGCAATGTTATTAATTGGCTGGGGCGTGTGGGGTTACACATATTTTCGTAGGTGAATAATATTGCTTTGGAACTTTTTTTTTTCATGAGAGTGTAATAGAATATTACTTTCTGTTGAGTGGAATTGTGAAATAGAAGTCAATACATTCTTGCTCAATCCTTTGACGCTTTGAAGGCGTCATGCTTGTCATCCTCAGCCTAAGCAATGTGTTACTGTAATTTGAATTTCAAAGTGCATGACTGAGTGTCGTTTTTTCGACGTACTGATCAACTCCACCGTAGCGAATCACACGACTTTAACATAATCAATAATATATTACAGTAAATACGAGCGAAAAATATCTTTATAAGTAAAGAATTGTCGCATAACAATTAAATACACTGCCGGGAAATGGCAAAGTTCACTAAGTCTAGTCTGATTAATAATTTTACAAAAAAAAAAAAAAGTTCAGGCAAAGGGGGGGCGTACGCCCTCTACGCCCCCCTCTGGATCCGCCACTGACTTCATTTGGACTCTTAGGAATAGTTGTCTCATTGGCAATCATACCACATGTCCTTATTTTTTTTATCAACTATTCAGTTATTTATCATTCCATTGTGTAAATATTATAATTCAAACAAAATGTATGTAAAGTATAAACTTTAATTTATAAAAATAAATCAACAAAAACAAAAATATAAATATACAACATGTACAATATTTCAACATAACTTAATAGAGACGACATTGAGCATAGCATTATATCATGTATATGGATAAAGTCACTGGAATGTTTGCTCCATAGGAAATTAGCTCTTCAATTGTGAAGTGTGTTATGGAAAAGACAGGATTTTCAGAATTACATTTGACATCTTCTTTTATTTAAATTGTTGTAGCAATAATTTTTCAGTTTTTTAGACTGAATTTATTTATCTGAATTCTTGTCTTATTGACTACATTCTATTTAAAATTAAATGTCAAAGAAATCCATCAAGTGTAATTTCAAAGAAAAGGATACAGATGGATGTTAAAATGGATCTGTCTTGAAACCATCTTAAAAAAAAATAACCCAATTTGACTTAAAATGGGTGTACTTTATATACATCTCATTCTGAGTTATATATATCTTTCAAATGCTTTACAACTCCGAATTAAAGCCTTATGTTACAAAGATCAAACAACAGAACATGTCTTAAACATCATACTTTCTGGATAATGGACAGAAACAACAAATTGGACTAGTGTTTTCCAACAAATATTTACCTAGAAAGTGTACTCCTTGTAGATTATCATGATTATAAAATGAATATGTGTGCTCTATGTTTATTCATGCAGTTAGAGACAACTTTTCAATCCAATAAGAAAATAATTTTCTGTAAGTTTCTCTTTATACCTTAAATAAATATTCAATGTTATCAACTATTTCGTTTTCTATTTAGACTGTTTTGGCAAGTTTACAGGACACTGTTACATTTAGAACCACACCATGATAGTTGCTTTGAATAATAATAAAAAAAAACAACTTTTTCTTCATTAACGAAACATAAAAAAACGTCTTAGGTTGCATTAAAATTTCAAAACTCGTATAAAATTTATTGCAACAGATTTAATCTTCCTCGAACATCTCCCCATTTACAGACCATCTCATGTGAAACGGTTGAGCATTACACATCATAAGTTCAGGTTTGACTTTATAAATATTAGAATACATTTGCATTACTTGGTATAAGTGATTCACGTCTGGTATCCACTCAGTGTCTTTTTTATCTGCTGTTATTTCTTTACCTGACAATAAACTTAAAAGCTGCACTAATGAATTCAAATTTGTTTGAGATGTCTGTTTTACCTGTTTTGGTAATATTGTTAATTCTTTAATTGCAGTGTTACTATTTTTAGACTGATTGTCAGTACTTTCACTTCGTGAATGTTTTGATTCTAATTTTTCACTTTTAGTTAATTCTGGATTTTTTAGATCAATGTTCACTTGAATTGAACTATTTGTGCTTCTAACATTATCCAATGTAACACGGTCTAAACTTTCTTTTTTATTGTCTAAACCATCTTTTTTAACATCCATATTATTTTCACTCTTTGAAAATTTTTCATCATTTACATTTCTTTCCTCACCATTTTCTTTTTTCTCATTATCATTTTTCATATAAATACTTTCATCTTTTCCATCTTCTATCTTTTCATTTTCTATATTCTTATTTTCGACTATATTTTCATTTTTTTCGACTAATTTCCCATACTCATCAATAGTTCCTGTTTCTCCTTTTAATTTTTGACTTTTTTCTTCCTTCTTTTGCTTTAAAATTAACTTTTCTCCAATTATTGTTTCTGTTGAATCGAGAATATCCAACAACGACAAAAGATCTAAGTTATCATGCATTTCCTGAAGTATTGCATCATCTTCTTTTTTAGCAGCACTACAACAATACACAGCTGCAGAATCCATTGGATGAGCTTCTGTGTTAAAAAAATATCCTCCTGCATCAATTACACATTCTCCATTAGGGGTCTGTATAACTGTCCCTGAACTACCGTTATTGTGAATGAAATTATCTGGGTCAAAGAGAAGATACAAATATTTTGTTGTCTCTGCCAGGAAAAAACTCTCCATCCTGTTCTCAAGTAGGTGATTATTGACATCTTTAACCTAGAAAATAAAAATAGATTTGTGTCAAAGTAAATGATACACGTCTACACATCTAAAGAAATACAAGAGTGCACACGCTGAAATGTCTCGCCTTCTTTACTAATCATTGATATTATGTTGATAGTCCTAAATATAAAGCTTTACTACAACTATCACATACACTTAACATGATCCAAGAAAATGAGGTCAAGGTCATATAAACCAAACAAGAAATACATGTACACCTTACAATTATTCAATACACTAAATATTGTTGCCCTATTGTTTATAATTTCTAAGATACAGATTTAACCAAGAAAACTAAACATTGACCAATGAACCAAGAAAATGAGGTCAAGATCAGATGAACAATGCCAGACAGACATGTACTACAGCTTGCAATCCTTCCATACAACAAATATAGTTGACCTATTGCTTATAGTATTAGAAAAACAGACCAAAACACAAAAACTTAACACTGAGCAATGAACCGTGAAAATGAGGTCAAGGTCAAATAAAACCTGCAAGACTGACAGGTACATCATAAAATATTTCCATACACCAAATATAGATGACCTATTGCATAAAGTATTAGAAAAAAAGACCAAAACTCAAAAACTTAACTTTGACCACTGAACCATGAAAATGAGGTCAAGGTCAGAAGACACTTGCCCGCTAGACATGTACACCTTACAATCATTCCATACACCAAATATAGTAGACCTATGGCATACAGTATAAGAAAAACAGACCAAAACACAAAAACTTAACTATAACCACTGAACCATGAAAATGAGGTCAAGGTCAGATGACACCTGCCAGTTGGACATGTACACCTTACAGTCCTTCCATACACCGAATATACTAGACCTATTGCTTATAGTATCTGAGATACTGACTTGACCACCAAAACTTAACCTTGTTCATTGATCCATGAAGTGAGGTCGAGGTCAAGTGAAAACTGTGTGACAGGCATGAGGACCTTGCAAGGTACACACATACCAAATATAGTTGAACTATTGCATATAGTATTAGAAAAAAAGACCAAAACTCAAAAACTTAACTTTGACCACTGAACCATGAAAATGAGGTCAAGGTCAGATGACACCTGCCCGCTAGACATGTACACCTTACAATCATTCCATACACCAAATATAGTAGACCTATGGCATACAGTAAAAGAAAAACAGACCAAAACACAAAAACTTAACTATAACCACTGAACCATGAAAATGAGGTCAAGGTCAGATGACACCTGCCAGTTGGACATGTACACCTTACAGTCCTTCCATACACCGAATATACTAGACCTATTGCTTATAGTATCTGAGATATGGACTTGACCACCAAAACTTAACCTTGTTCACTGATCCATGAAATGAGGTCGAGGTCAAGTGAAAAATGTCTGATTGGCATGAGGACCTTGCAAGGTACGCACATACCAAATATAGTTATCCTATTACTTATAATAAGAGAGAATCTAACATTACAAAAAATCTTAACTTTTTTTTCAAGTAGTCACTGAACCATGAAAATGAGGTCAAGGACATTGGACATGTGACTGACGGAAACTTCGTAACATGAGGCATCCATATACAAAGTATGAAGCATCCAGACCTTCCACCTTCTAAAATATAAAGCTTTTAAGAAGTTAGCCAACGCCGCCGCCGCCGCCGGATCACTATCCCTATGTCGAGCTTTCTGCGACAAAAGTCGCAGGCTCGACAAAAACCTACTTAAATCATTTAAAGATTTCTTATTGGTACAGAAATAAGTTAAATCATAAAAGCAGACTTTTTATTTTCTAATCAAGAGATTTGTTCTAATTTTGTTCTGTTCTTTTTCTTTTTCCTTTTGAGTGGATATTATTCATACTCATTACACTTTAACCTAAATGTGAATCTAAAAGTATCTGGATGATTGTTAAATTAACATCAAGCAATGACCATTCATCCATGCCTTGAATTTTGTAAAAAAAAAAAAATTAGCAAACTCCGACTTGATGACTTCACAGATGGTTTTTGTGGCAAATAAATAACTTTGTACTAGTTTTTGTAAAATTAATCCTGGACAATTTGTTACAGTTTTTGTAGAATTTGCATATTTCTTGTCTGAATAATTATCTTCAAGTGATTGTAGCTTAAACTAATATAATCTCAAAACTTAATCTCCAAAACCATAAGACAGCATCATTGTACAACTTTAATAGACTATCTTCATATTACCGACTTTTGACTCCGGATTATATAATTTGTCGACTGGTTACCTTGGACATCATGGTACTCGTTCAAGTAAGAGCAACCAAAATAAGTAAAATCAAACATATAATCGGTGTAATTTGAGGGGAAAGTTTACTGTTTTCCGATGATTTTGTAGTGAAAAAAAAATATTAACCAGGTAATTTTCCCCCAAAATTGTACCGATTGAAAGCTTGGTTTTACTTCTTTAGCTTGCTCTTACCTGACTTGGTACCATGATGTCCAAGGTAACCAGTCGACAAATTATATAACCCGGAGTCAAAAGTCGATTATATAAAAATAGTCTATTTACTGACATCAATGAAGAACAGCTTAACAGTCCATGTGACGTAAATGAACATTTTGAATATGTATATGTTGTGTACAAGATGTAAGTTTGTACAAATTATAATTTGTACAGGGTTTTTGTACAAGTTATAAGTTTTTTGGCACATACCTTTTTGCATCAGATGATAAAAGTTTATCTTCTTAAATTAATCAGCTTAATGTCTTAAATTCAAATTTATATACTTAAACATAACATTTAGTGCTTTTCTCCCTGTCTTTAAAATGGAAATAAGGACACCTGAATCGTTTAAAATTGATTTTTTATTTTTCTCCTTATACCAAAATCATATCCATAAAAAGTCTATTTGTGTTCTTATAATGTTTTTTTTGTATCAATGCTCAGTATTAAACTGTATCATGTAGTCATAGAATTATGACAGAAATAAGCGAAACAAAAGACTGTGTGCTTGTATCATCCATTTGTGTTAAGCGGTTCATAAAACACTAATAACTTGTACAAACATTCTGTACAAATTATAATTTGTACAACATTACAATTTGTACACAACATATATAAACAACAACATTAAATATAACAGTTTACAATCATTGATAGTGAAGTTCATATGAATGAATATTCTATTAAATGTTTTTTTAATCAATTCAATCAATGCTATAATTTGCCAGTTGCCATCAGTATTCAAAGGAATATGGGTAATTTCATTGTTTGTACACTAAAATGACAATAACATTACATGTATGCCATTGGTTGTATATAAATTGTTCAGGATGTTGTTAAACGATCACAACTTTTTGGTGTCTGCTTTTTTTTACCCAGAATGCATTAGATTCTGAAACGGCAAATTTGGAAATGCTGATGACTGTTCTGACTGGTAACCCAAACTATCATCTATCTATACCTACTGTAGCATATCCACACTTAGTTTTAGTTGATTGTTCTATAGCCTCTATAATATCTACACCTATATCCAGTAGAAAGGGATCCTTTGTCGCTCTATACAGGTACATCACACTTTCTATCAACTCTGAAATAATAAATTTAATCAAGTAACAACGCTGTCAAATCATGTGTTATTCACTAATGACTTTAACCAAAATACTTGTGATCAGAAACTGCTTCATCTTCCTGAATTCAAGTTTTCACTTCTGCATTATAACAGTATACTGTAAATTCAGAAATTATTGTGAGGTTTTTATCAATGTGAATAATGCGACTGGGTGACTATCGCAATAATAATAACTCACATTCTGATATCTGTTACATATATCTGTATACAGATTTTCCTGATATTCAATAACTCATCTCACATTTTTGTCCATTCTTCAAAAATCACAACAATAAATGCATGCAATAATTTCTGATTTTCAGTATTTGTTGCAGAAATGGACCTGTTCAGAAATTCAACTTCTGCCACTGTAAATTACATTGCACAGGCTTGACCAATCGCAACATACAAAACATTTATGTTCTAATAAAATTCCTTCCTGGTTATTACTTACTCTTTCACTATTTTTCTCTTCAATATTTCATGATTACTTTGTATATATGAGATATTCTACAGATCTGTTCAGTTCAGCTGTTCATTTTATTTCAACTGTATATATAAATTTCTAACATATGTTGGACATATACACAGTAACAACATTTAAAAGGATATGATATCTCAGGCCTCTTATAAATTTCTTTATATTACCAAACAATTAAGTCCTAACTATTTCTAGAAAAAGTTTTTTTATAGGGGATCCAATTGGCACATTACCTGGTCTGAGAGGATATCCTTCTCTCCCTTTGTGAGCCTCATTTTTAGGAATATTATAATATTCTGGAGTAAATCCATACTGTTTCCAGACCTGATGGAAATTATGTAATGTCTTCATTGCTTGATCATTTTCACCAAGCATACTCTGAAATAAAAAAAAATAAAAAAATAAATAATTCTCAGTACAAATTTAATTTATCTTTTCAAGCAAGCCTTAGAACTAGGTACACAATTCAGGTATTAACATGATGATATTGTTATTTTCAAAACTGTGACAAGATGAACATCTCGATAATTACAATTCACATTTTAAGACATTCTTTTCGCCAGCAAAGTTTTACATCAACAGATTAGAGAATGGAATTGAAAGTCAGTTGTCAAAGATTCACAATAACTAATGTTCTGATTAAATTCTGAATTTACACTATACAACACATGGACATAAAAGGCATTCCCTTTTCAACATGTTCAATATATATAAACTTTTCCCTATCAATTTATACAAATTTTTAAATTAAAAAAAAATTAAAACTTTGTAAATATTTTACAACTTAATGAAACCTCAAAAATCTGTTTCATTCAATTACTGTAATCACATTTCACAGTTTGAAAATGAAAGGTTATGAATAACATTGAATAGTTAAGCAACACTGTTAAGGAAAATTCCTGTGCAAACTGTAGAAGCATCATGGTTTCCTCATGATATTACTTGCAGTTTGTAGACTGTAAACTTAAGTCTTGGAGAACATGATATATTCATTAGTTGTAATTGCATTGGACTAGCTTTTAATAACTGTGATTACTCTGATATGGGTGCTTTTTATCTATTGTTTTTATGTTAGTTGTTTTTGTGTGTCGTACCATTCTTTTGAGTTCAGCCAATTGCAACTGATTTCTACTGTTTTGTTGTACTGTTACACCACTGTCAAGATTAGGGGAGGGTTGAGCACTAAAAATCGTGATTAACCCCAAAACATTCTTCTTGTGCCTGTCCCAAGTCAGAAGCCAGTATTTTCAGTGGTTGTCATTGGTTCATGTCTGTCATATTTATTTTTCGTAAATTGTTTTCAAATTGTTATAAATTAGGCCGTTAGTTTTCTCGTTGAAATGTTTCACATTTTTTCATGTCTTGCATTTTATAGCCAACTATACAGTATGGGTTTTTCCCATTGTTGAGGGTCACACTGTGACCTATAATTGCTTAAATCCACTTATTTGAACTCTGGTGGATAGTTGTCTCATTGGTTATCATACCACATCTTATTTTATATTGGAGTTTCTACTCTGTTCACTACTGTCTTAAGAAGAATCTATTTTCAACTCACATCTTACCATTGAACAAATTGACATTGCTAAGAGTCAATGAAAAATACACATAACATAATTATGACACTTTATAATAATTCATACCAGAATTCCAGGCCAATATGCATCTAGAGATGTAAACATAGGTAGAGTTATTCCCCCTTTGTTCATGTTTGCCCACATATACCAGTCATCTCTCTTCAGATATTTCTTTACAGCTGCATGGTATTCTGAAAAATGAATAATCAATTTGCGTTTAGCTATAAAATATTTTGTATGATATTTTTTATCATTTTTATAAAATACCCTGCCCTTAAATATAATTGATAAGCATGCTTGCCTGGAGTGCAGGAAGGTGAAAGTTTATATCCCCAATGTCAAACCAAAGATTTTAAATTTTGCCTTACGATGGACTGTTACCTTGTGAACTAGCACAAATAAAATTCAGCTCAGCCTGTTGGTCAAGTACAAAGACAAATTCAGTTTAATATATTGTATTAACATGTCCTTACTCTCCATATGATTTGTGCCATCGATACATAATAAAAATTTGGTAAAAGTATAAAAATTGAAAAACATAAATAAATAAACATAATTTATCCATCATTATTATATATTTAATATGTTATATTCATTCATTTTTTACTGATGATATAACAATTATTGGCAGTTTTCAATTATGAAAAGAAAGTGATGCAGTACATTTTGAAGAAAGAAGCACTTACATGCTTTTTGCAATGTGTGCTATATTCCTTGCATTTAAATTTCTTAAAACTACAAATCTGCTTTAGTTTCATAAAATAATTGTTAAAACCTTGTGTATATAATTTACAAATTGTATTTTTGATGACTGTATCTTTAAAAAAAACAATATTAAATAACATAACACACTAGACACTATTTATTTTTAATATACACAAATTCAGGTAACCTGTATCTTTCATGGCTTACACCTGGAAATCAAACTCTTTCCAATCATGCCAATGATGAATACATAGCACTATCATTTAAACATATATAATTTATTCATAGTACATGTGGTTTGTTATTTTAGTACTAGATTCAGAGATCGGTATAAATTATTTAAGAGTGAATTGGTAAGGAGGCTTGAAACAGACATATAATGAAATCTTGTGCAAATCTTCAAATTAAATCTGTTGATCCAAAACTGTAATACGATTTAGTTTTAAACATTCTTTTCGTATATAAGTAAACAAATTTCACACAAACCATGAAACATATCTACGAGTTCAGGAATGTTAAACATAATGCCTCCTTTAACCAAATACTCAAAGTATGAATCTATTCCACCACCAATACCAAAATCAACAGCAGTCCATTTTCCTGTCTTTACATCCACATGGTTTCCTACCTATAAATATTGTTCAGCAACATATATATTATTTTCATGAATACAATACATGTACATGATCAGAAAATGTCAAATTATTTGTTCAAATTTTAGAGGCAGGAGGAAAAATGTGGCTTGCTGAGATTTTCTCCAAAGTACAATTTCTACAATGTACATAATATATTGTTTTGATCTGCCAATTTAAAAATCATGATCAAATCTTAAATCTCCTTTAAAATCATTAATTAAGGTGAAAATGATTTTTTTTTTCCAAAGTTATATTTCAAATTCAAACTAATTAAATGAGCTGGAAATAATATTCAGTTCTGTTATTAAGTTGTAAAAAACAGGTGAGAAATGTGTGAGTTTCAAACACTTATTGATAAATTAGTAATAATTGCAAATAATGAACAAAACAATATTCATCAAAATGCCTGTTTTTTTTCATATAATATGATCTAATATTCTACATTTAAGAATAATTTCATTCATTCGTGAGTATAAATTTTAAATTTAAATTCATGACACAAAAATTATTAATTATAAGATAATGTCACAAAAAGAATTTGACTTCAAATAAAAATTCTTTGATTAAATTGTACTGAATGCTTACAGATTCTTGTTTCAATCTAAAATACACATAACTTTTCCAGGAACCATTTTTGAATTCAATTTGAGTCTTCTCACATTTCTTTTGATGAATGAAAATTTAGACATGTAGCGTTAATATAGAAAATATTATAAACACTTAAAGAAAAAGAGATTTATAAGGTTTAATGTGGTACTGGTATTACTGTTTCATAACTTTTATCAATAGTTATACTGAATTTTACCATTCCAATTGGAGAGCGAGTATTCCAAAGAGCTCTAAGTGCTCTCATGGCAACTTTTTCAAAAACAGGATCTCCTGTGAGTCGACTAAGTGTTCCAAATTCAATTAGAAATGTACCAACACCAGCAGTACATGTTACAGTTGTCTCCCCTTTAGGTACACCATGTCTTAGGTTTACTGTTCCATAAGGCATGCCAGTCTGTGTATCAAAAGCTAAAATTATAAAGAATATCAAATAAAGCATGAAATTAGTGCTATGTACAGTACTGGTGTCATCAAAGTCTGAACAGTGTCTTCCCTAGAAAATTTTTCATGCATGGTGGGTCCATGGTGGATTTGCAACGCGGCGAGCAATGATTCTTTTTCAGAATTAGTAACACTACATAATTTATATGTTTAAAGCCATATACCAATCTAATTGCTTTATTATAGGTAAGTCATGGAACTTTAAAGTATTTATTACAGATGAGAGGAATTAATGAAAGACCTTATAAACAATAATAAAAATAATCCAGTCTGCACTAGTTATTTACAAATTAGTGTCATGTACACATTATTTTGTTGATATCTTTCTCCGTTTCAGCTTTCCAAAGTTCACCACACATTTTTCAAAATCAAAATCTTCCTCCTTTGGTCCTTCAATTGATATATGCATTAAGCAATTCAGCACTTTTTGGCATAGTCTGTTTCTCAAAGGTGTTTTAACTCTGTTTAAACATGAAAAACACCTTTCACAATCAGCTGTTGAAACTAGCAAAACAAGACCAATTGCTGCATACTTAGACAGACATGGATACAAAGTTCTAAGACAGGCAACTTTGTTCATTGTCTGCCTAAATGTCATGTCTTTAGATTCTTTCACTAACAGTGTCCTCAATTTGCTGATAGAATGGTTTCAGCAGCAACAGCAAGTTGTTAAATAAAACTTTGAATGTCATCATTGCTTCACAGAGATTTTACAGGGAACAATAAAAAAAAAGTTTATTTGCGTTAGAGACGACATCAAAAGTTCAATGTAGGATAAAAAAAACTTAATTCACATAGTTTTTTCACTGACCCCCACCCCCTCTCTTAACTTACTTTGGGAAAAATTGATTGACCAATATGGATATATGTAAAATCGATTTTGGATAAACAAAACTTGCAGCAATTTTAACCCCCACCCCCAAACTATTTGATTTAAGTTTTTTTTATCCTACATTGATCTTTTGATGTCGTCCCTTAATTACAGAAGTCGTCAATGAAGAATACCTGACATACGGATGAAATATTTGGCAATTACCTGTTTGGAAGCTAACTGACATTTTATTTCATGAACTATTTTTTTTTAAATACATTCCTGTCCGATTTATTTATAACGCTTCATAATTGTAAAAATCCTATCTTGCCGAAGTGAAAGAAAAATTATATTTAGCCCCACTTGTGTAAAAAACGGCAAATGAATCTGCTATGTGACCCATTGAATTAAAGATAGAACAACACTAGTTTATTAAAAACAATATTTCCGTAAATAAACATGTATGTTATGAAAGTTTTTCCATCATTTCATAAGACACGTCTTTTTCTCAGCCCGTTTGCTGTGATGTGTATTCTTTGATATAATCAATCAACCCCGACTAATCTAAAAATAACTGATTGTTGTGAACAATCAAAAAATAGTTCATCGATGTAAATATACATTGATATAGCTGATGAAAAAACTGCGAAACTTTATTTAAAAAAAAGTTTTGTTCATTCTCGGTGAAATTACGTTAGTTTTATTTTATGATACCAGAGACTATACCAAATTTTAAATTTCTACTTTTTAAAGATCACAGTAAAATAACGATGTCAAATACCCGTTTTTTGGTGAAATTTATACTGGGAAAATGTTAAAACTTTTTATTTAGCACAGAAAGATATGCATTGGAGATTAATCTTACTATTTATTTATCAGCTTACTGGCAACTTCTATTATGTAACCGAAGTCTCGATGTGCAAATGTATACAACCAACTAATCAAGAAGGTTGTAAAATCCTGGCATGCGCGATGTGATGCATCCAATTATCAGTCGGATGAGTTTAAAACACATGTGGAGTGTTGTTACTTGTCACTTCACTTTCAAAATATCGATAATAAATATTTTACACAGTTATTATTTTCACACATAGCGGGATGCATCTTGGCAATGATGAAAGAATGGCGGTCGAAATTTATGCGTAGCGGTACCACAATGCTTGAATAGCCTAGGGAAAACACTGAGTCAAATTAAGTAATTAGGTTTGGATCCAGTTTAACTTTTTTTAACAGCCTGTGCGAGACCCTCATGGGTATAGTAGGGTGCCCAATGTCCAAAAAGTCCTCTAGTTAACGAGTTTAAGTTAACGGATAACACACGGCTGATTTTTTTGCACATTATAGGAAAATCATTATATTTTACAATCATGATTGTCGTCGTAAGTTCCCGTGGTCACGATTTTCTAAATTTCGTGTTTTTATAGGGTACACCCAGATACCGTATTGTACGGGGAATCTTTAACATGAAAAATAAAATTATTGCGTACTTTGTTGGTAGTTAAAACAGTACCTATAATATAGTTTATATATTAAATATATCATATAACGAAATCGAAAAGTATTTAAGTGATTTTGATATAAGTATTTCAGCATTTTAGTAAGAGTAAAATTTTACCCGAAATTTACCCTATTTTCATCGAAAGCAAAATTATTACGTGTATCATCACAATATTTTTTACTCTGATCTAAGCAATAAGACACAGTGCATGTGTGTGCCAAATTGCATGCGTGAAATAAAAATCGTTTTGAAGAAATTAGCAATTAAAAACACAAATTAAGTCAACATTTTGGTATTGATTAAACACGGATTATCTTGTGTCATTAATCATTTTGTTGCTTACACTATTAGGTCATTAACAAGGACAGAGGTCACTCAAAACATTACTCTTTTTTGCTTGTTGTGTGGTTGATTTATTTGTTGTGAATAGCCAGCTAACTTTGTAGATTGTCACTTTGTTCGGCGAAATCTGTTTTGTGTCTGTTTTTCAAAACTTTAAACTTTTTATTGAATAAATATTTTGTTATAATTGTAGTATAAGAATCAAATCGATCGGTTTTGTTTCACACCGGGAATATGGCACATCAAAAGTCTTGTATGATGTTTTCGACATAAATCCCTCCGAGGCTCTGTGGGAACGAAAATATACCACCGTTCGTGCAACAAAATAAAAACAGGTACAACAGACAGCAACCAACGACAACCGTTGAATTGCAGGCTCCTTATTTTGGACAGACACATACAGAATTTAGAGGGTTAAACATGTTTGTGATCCTTCAACCCTCCCCTGACCTGGACAATGGTATAACAACACAGCATAAGAAAAATCTGCTGAAAACAGTTTGAAATGGCTTGACTTATCAAATCGGCATGAACCACAAAAACAACTAACATGAAGACAAAAAAACACTAAGTACCGATATAATAGTACTCGCCGTTAGGGTAGAACATTTTATATTCTGAAGAAAGGAATGGGGCTGGCGGCGCGAAAATTTATTTTCACTTTTGTACACATTCATATCCTCAACTATCCTGCATTTCATGTTGAAGAGTGTTCATTCTCATCCTTTCTTGTGCAAAGTCAATTATTTCAGTTCATATCAGGCCAAGTAATTCATTTTCAAAATCCTCATTCCCTCCCTGTTTTCGAAATCAAATGGGTGTTCCCTTACTGAAAACTAATGAAAGGACGTCATCAATAGTCTGAGAACCCGACCGTGCGAGGGCTGTATAGCCAGTCAAAGTCGTTAAAAACTTCCATCATCATAGTCTGAGAAATGTATGATCATAAACATCATTACCGTAAAAACTAGCTTTTGTTATAAATCAGGCCGTTAGTTTTTTTTCAAATGAATTCTTTCATTTTTTTCATAACTGGCCATTTTATAACCGACCATACGGTATGCGTTTTTCACATTGTTGAAGGCCGTACGGTTGCCTATAATTGCTTGCGTCCACATCTCCTAATTTTTATATTATACAACAAGTTTTACATAAAATTAACACTATCTATGTTCCATGTAAATGAGTTAAGGTCAGATGAACTCTGCTACAAAATCATGTATACCTTGTTACCATTCCATACACCAAATATATTTAACCCACTACTATCTGAGACTGTACGGACTTGACCGTGAAATTAGGTCGAGGTCAGGTGAATCTTGTCTGACGGTCATGACTTGACCACTGAAACTTAACCTTGTTCTGATCCGTGAAATTATTTCGATGTCAGGTGAATCATGTCTGATGGTCATGTAGACCTTGCAAGGATACCATATATTAGTAACCAAATATAGTTATCCTAGAACTCATGATAATTGAGACCTTCACATGACGAAAAAAGCTATACAGTTTTTTAGCAGTCACTTAACCATGAATATGAGGTCAAGGATATGACGGAAACTTCGTAACACAATGGATCTATATACAAAGTATGAATCATCCAGTTCCTCTGCCCTCTGAAATATAAAGCTATACAAACAGTTTACGGTGTTGCAGCCACCATTATCAGATTGTATTCTGTATTCCTCGCATTCTGCTACTTGCGTCGAATGCGATTTAAAAGAAAAAGAACATCTGAAATTAGCTCTCTTACCTAAAGCTTGTCGGTGGGCTTTCAACTTAACAGTAGACAATGAAACGTAATAGCTACTACTAGCTCGGCAATTTTTCTATGTTGTTTCACTCTTATTAAAATTCTGATCTTTATTAACTAACATGCTCTTATAAGATAAGATAAGATAAGAATTTTATTAATCTAATCAAGAACCCATAAAGGGCATCATTTACAACAATATTAAGCACAATATGATTGGAAAAAAGAAAAACTAGATCCTAATATAATACTATCATATTATGGACAGGATCAGAGCCTAACACATCATGTGTCTTACATAACTATAACAATAATTTCATAATAATTAAATATTATTTTATATATTTTGTATCCACCTGGATCTTATTTCTAAACACTTAATTATATAATTGCCTAGGCACATAAGAGTTGGTAAATGCTCATTTGTGAACAGCCAGAAATATTTTTTATCCTTGGGTAATTCTTTAAAATTATTACAAAAACTGTTTACTTTATCCCATAATAATTTTCTCTGTTCGTTGTATAAAGGACAACTTACTGTGAAATGGGTCTCATCTTCAATAGAATTTGATCCATGTGATAGGCAGTGATGACATAAACGCTGACTTCTCTCTATGTATTTTTTACTATATCTATCTTTCTCAATTTTAAGATCATGTGCACTTATTCTCAATTTACATATAGCTCTTCTTATATTAAAATCTTTAATTGATAAATAAGCCTCCTTTACGAAGTCAGTCTTGAGGTTGAAATAATTTTCTAATTTACTATTACCTTGTGATAAGGTATCAGATCTTTTGACCACCCAAAATGTTTTAAAACTGTTACAAAGTTTACATTTTACAAATTTAATTAATTTATTGAGCTTTGTATTCAAATTTTGTATATCAAGTGATTGAAGGACATATCTCATAGATGAATACCAACAATTAATGTTTCCTGCATCTAAAATTTTATTACAAACATAAGCATCATAAAGTAACCCATCGTCCAATTTGTTAAGCCTGTGTACATATTTTACCATAGATACTATGACAGAAAAATAAAGAGGAAATCTTGCAACCTCTGATAACACTGCCAAATTTGAGGCTTTTTTATTTACACCAAGAATATATTTTAGATACCTGAAATGTGATTTTTCCAAATAATCATTTATGTAAATTAATTCAAATAGATAATCACTTTTTTTTTATATATAAGCTCAAATGAGGATAACGAAATCAGAGATCTATATTTTAATTAGATTGATGTTGTTTACAAGTGTTTGTAAAATACATCGATGCTGTACAAAACTTTCTTTTTGTAGATAATCTTTAACTTCCTGTCAATTGTAGGCCAATTTATGTTCGATAAGTCATGTACATTACACTTGATATAAGTGTGTACGATGGAGTGATGAGCCTGCTGTTTCTTATTCTCATTTTGTTTTCATAACTTGTAACAGAAACCCTCCCCCTTTTTCACCGTTTGCAGTTTGTTTTTTTTATTTCTGTAAAGGAAATATATATTCAGACCTGCTAATTCAATCAATTCTGCGTTAATATTCATCAGTTTTGGAACTAAGTACTATTTGATGTGCTTCCACGTTCATCAAAAGAGAATTGGATATTTACCCAGAAAATCATGACGAACACCTTCTATCAAAAGACGGAAAAAATAACATTTTGGGAGGGTAACTTATAAATGTTAATATCTAAAAAACATCTCTAAAGATCACTTATATCGAATCTTATGTAAAAATTCCAATTTTGGAACTTTTAAAAGGTCAAGGTCACTGTTATTTAACAGCTCAATGAAAATTGTAAATGTGCACCTTTAAGTACAAATGTCAATCTCGAACCATATTTGGCAATAAAATTATCAAATTATTCCTAAATATAGAAACTATAGTTATAATCCTTTGAATTATTTGAATTTATTTTGTTATAAACGCAAATGTGTAGGGGTGGCCAGCTGTCTAAACGTGACTCTACGTTTTCCTTGAAATTTTAGATTTGACCTTTGACCCAAATTTAAGAAAATCGTGACCACTGTAGACAACGACGACATCAATTTTTCGACGAGGCTTGTTCACCTCTTTCCAATGATATAAAATATAGCCGTGTGTTATTCTGTTAACCCAAATCGATTAAATTTGTTGACTGGGCACCCTACTAGTAGTCAAGGTCATTAAACCCTCCCCTAGTAGTAGTAGTAAATTTTTTTTAAATATACAAAAAACTTCACATTTTTCCAATGATTGCAAACAAGAAATAGGACACCATCCTCTGCTTGCACTATAGCTATCACATTTCAATCTTCAGTAAACCCCCAAATCTCAAACCAATACCTTAATTTGACGTATATCTTTTTGAAAGTTCACATCCTAATGAAGAGTGTGTAATAAGTTTCAAGTTAATGTAACCTTCATGGTAAAATACATTGAACCAAAACTTCAACCTGATATTGGATGGACAAACAAACTGATGGACACTAAGGTTAGAAAACATAATGCACCTTCTATTGTAGGCAAAGCATAAAAACTATACAATTTTTAAACCAGTCACTAATCAATATAAATAAAGTCAATAACAACAAACAAAAGACAGACAAAGAACTTCAAACTATCTCTAAAAAAAGTCATCTGTTTATAAGTTATGAATCATCAAGATCTTCTAAAATATAAATTGTATACAAATAGTTAATGTTATCACCATGCCGACCATGGCAGTCAGATTAACATCCCCATATCTTGCATTCTTCAACATTTGTGGCAGGTAAGACGGTAAACCAAATTCATAACTCTATTACAAGAACATAATATTTTAAAAGTTTTAACAGGGGGTGTTTTCAATTTGTATGACAAGCTCAAATTTAACAGACCAGTTGTAAAAAATTGTTGTAAAATAAGCAAAATAAAAGGTTGAAGAAATAAATACAGTATTGTGGACTGCAAAGCTTTACTAGAGGTTCCTGACTATTTAAGCTTATCTAAAATTCTGTGTGGGAAACAGGTTTGAAGTTGAACGCATAATATTCCATAAGATATAAAGTAAGGAAAATATTTTCCCCCTCATCACGCTCATAAAAAAAATAGTATCTCCTTTTTACCAGGAAGAATTCTCCTTGCTACATCTTCAGCTAACCTCAACAAAGGTCCTGAACATGGCCATCCTGGTTCTAACTCCATTCCTGTTTTCTTGTACAATAAATGAGCGGACAGTAATCCACCTAAAACTAAATAGAACATTTGTTCATAATAATATGCATTGCGTTTGTCACTTCGAAATACATTTAAATTCAGAACATTTTACTTTTCACATTTGATGATCTTTTCTATTTTTTATGCTACAGCATGTTTGCAGGTACAAAAAAAAATGAACATATTTTTAATATTGCTTTACTTTTCATCAATTTCTGGAATAAACAATTAAGTATAATTGTCAATAAATGTATTCTTACTTCTGATATTAGTTTCAAATACTGAAGCATTGATGTCTATGTCAAAGTTAATCATGTTGGATACTAGCTTGGCAACTCGTCGGAACTCAGTGTAGTTTCCCATGATGGCTAGAGTATCTAAAGCATCTATCAGTGTCAAGGAATAACTGAAATTGAAACAGGAACATTCAAAATTAGTCAAGACAGAGGAAAAATAATGTGATTTTACATTTGCAAGCGCATGCAATGTTCAAGCTATAATTTAACGGCAGAGGGGGAATTTTTAAGATGAAGTACACAGGAGTGTAGTTTCTATCTGAAAAGGGACAACTTATTCAAGGTTCTATTGATTTTTGGTTGCTTAACGTCCAGTAAAATCAAGGTTCTATTGATTGTTGGTAGCTTAACGGCCAGTGAAATCAAGGTTCTATTGATTGTTGGTTGCTAAACGTCCAGTGAAATCAAAGTTCTAAATGAAAAATTTGAATAGTTGAATAATCTACATACATGTATTACTGTAAAGTCAGAATTTATTTGAGGTTTTTATTAATGCAAATAATGCGACTGAACGAGTATCCCAATAATAAGAACTCGCATTCTTATATCTGATACATATAACTGCATGCAGATTTCCCTAAAATTGCAATGATTAATCATGCATTTTAGTCCATTCTACAAAAATATCGCAATAATAAATGCACGCAATAATTTCTGAATTTACAGTATGTATTTTTCATTGTATAAATATTAAAATGGGTACATGTAATAAGAGTTTTTTGCAGTACACAAAAGATTTGTTTCTCATTGAGAACTAACATGAATAGGCAGTGAGGATTTAGGTATATAGAAAGGGCAGAGGGGAGCTGTGCTCCTCTATTTTGGCTTAGATAAGACACTGACATGTAAGTTTTTACATGGTTCATATATTTGACTATAGTAGATGACCATATGATGACTTCCAGATGTCTTTTAAGGTTCTATATATATTGTGTTGTTAGTTGTTATCTCTACTATTCATAACCCTACATCTCCGTTATTGACATTGGTGAAACAAGCACTCATTAATATGTAAAGTGAGAAGATCACCAGTGGCAAATCTAGGATTTAAAAAATTCAATTTTTTCCATTTGTAAAGGGGCATAACTCTAAAACAGTACAAGAGACGCCACCCAAATTCGAACTTGATCTGTGTTTTGTGGGAATGAGCATTGTTTTTAAGTTTCATAACACTTGGTTGAGGCAAACTAAAGTTAGAGAACGGAAACCAATTTCGGGACGTACGGACGGACGTACGTACAGACGGACAAGGGTAAAACTTAAAGACCCCTCCGCTACGGCAGGGGCATAAAAACACAATTTTCAGTCATTAAAAAGGAAGACAGGCAGAGATATACACAAAGACTTTGTTGTTGTTCAAATCACAATTATGATCATACTGATTCATTTGAAATAAAAGTGATTTTGGGTCCACACCTGATTGAGACAGTAAATAAACAACATGAACAAGCTGCTTGAAGCACGAAAGACATTTAAAGTTCAATATATGGTCTTAGTGTTTAAGTATCCATATAATAAGCTCTAAATAATCAGAAGTCGGTTTCACAAAAAAAACTTACGACTAAGATTGATCGTAAGTCATGAACAATTCAGTATACTTACAATCAATCTTAGTCCAACTCTGTTGTACGTTTTTTTTGTGAAACTGACTCCTGGAGTAAATATAAAGTTGTGAATGAAGTTAACAGGTACTAACATCAGAATAAGCAAAAGACTAACTTTACCTTACCATATTATGACATGGATATAAGCCGTCTGTGGAGGGTTGTCTATTTCCTGTTAAATAAATGTTTCCAGATCTTGGTTTGGATCTCAGATATTGAATTCAGTTGTATCTGTTAAATTTATATACAAACTATCAGAATATAAATAAATTTAAGGCCTGTTCACAGTATGCTGACTTCTAAATGTTTATTTTTCAAAATTTGTGTGTTTTTGGATGTGATTCATTGATGTTTCAACTGCTTACTGAAAGGTCTCCTTCATTTTTTCATAAGAAAATTTTACATACCTTCCCCAAGTGTCATGCCCATCACAAGTCAAAGGTCGAAGTTCATCATAAGGATAAGCATATTTTATGTATCCATCATATGCATGGTGAAACATTTTTTCTACCTTCTCTCTGAAAAAAAAAGAAACTCATTTTTAGAAACAAATCTGTTTCTGCACTGCTGAATATTATGGTCCTGATAGTAAGTGTAACAGGTCTATGTAAGCAGGTAAGAACAAACTGTGTAGGAAATAGCTAACCTATCAAATTGGCAAGAAGCATGAAAAACAACTAACAAAAGACAAAAGACTCAAAGTATATTTTTAAGAGTACTGGCGGTTATTTTGTCATGTCCGGCCCTTTTATTATTATCTTACTATAAGATATAGGTGTTGCTCATTGTTGTTGGCCATATACTTTGACCTATAGTTGCTTACATTCAATCATTTGGTGGATAGTTGTCGCATTGGCATAATACATTATCTCCTTATTTTTATATATATCTACATGTAAATGATTTACAGAGTCAATGAAGAAGACAAACTACAGTGTACATGTATCTGATTTGGAAAGGCTGATGACAGATGTATTACATTCTATCACAATTTTTTGGCATGGTTAGCTTTGGCACAATTGTTAATAGACTTAGTGGAAGAAGAAAAAGCAGACCCTGACCAAATCTAAATTTTGTAAAAAAACTTTTAAAGTTGACAAACATGTCTTTTTGGCCTAGATTTTTTGGGGATTTTGAAAGACAGTCAGGGGTACTACTTGTACAAGTAATTTTTATTTACTTGAAGAAGTAATTATAATATACTTATATAAGTAAATTTGTAGGATACTTATACAAGTGTATTTTATTTACTTGTATAAGTAAATTATTTTTTGGCCTAGTTATGTCCCTTAGGCATTCAGATTTTTTTACTTATACAAGTAAAAAAGTCATCCTATCTTCTTTTCTTGAATTCTTAGAACTTCTTTGCTCTAACAGAATTTTGAATTGTCTGTCCTTTGCAGATGTCTTTACTATTCATTTAAGTGTAATTTCATGGACAATGAAAATCTCATTTGTCTTTTATCTTTAGAACACTGCTCATTTACAAGCCCCGAAGGAGCAATTTTTGAAGGCCTTGCGCAAATACTTAAGATCTTTGCTCAATCAGTTTCTTTGTTGAATTAATGAGATGAAACATTGAACTCTTATCAAAAATTATGAGCTAACCTGAGAAAAATTGTTAAAGGCATGATTTTACATCTCAAAACTTGAGAATTTTTGTGGGATTGTAAAAAAAATTTACTTATACAAGTAAATTTTTTAGAAAATTAAGGGGAGATTATTCAAACAATTATAATTAACTTGTATAAGTATATTTTATTTACTTCTTCAAGTAAATAAAAATTACTTGTACAAGTAGTACCCCTGACTGAAAGACAACTCAGAATTAATCCCTAAATAAACATAATTATTCTTAATAACTCAAAGTAATAATATCTTTTTTTTAGTGATTTGATTATTAAATGTTAATTATGTATGATTACTGTTTATTGGTATTTACAAAGCTAAATTTGGTATTATTCTTTGGTGTTTTGAAAATCATAATAAATAACATATAGAAATAAATGCTCTATATCGTAACTGAAAGCTGTACTACAACAACAATTAAGCATATATATACATGTATAATAAAATTGAGAATGGAAATGGGGAATGTGTCAAAGAGACAACAACCCGACCATAGGACAGACAACAGCAGAAGGTCACCAACAGGTCTTCAATGCAGCGAGAAATTCCCGCACCCTGAGGCGTCCTTCAGCTGGCCCCTAAACAAATATATATATACTAGTTCAGTGATAATGAACGCCATACTAAACTCCAAATTGTACACAAGAAACTAAAATTAAAAATAATACAAGACTAACAAAGGCTAGAGGCTCCTGACTTGGGACAGGCGCAAAAATGCGGCGGGGTTAAACATGTATAAGTATATATATATATATATATATACCAACTTATAATTAAGATCCATTTATTACATCGGTGATCTGTTTATTTGGCAATCGCCAATGGCAGTCAGCAGGGTTTAAGAACATTTGTTGTTCGACCTGTTAGTCAAATGCGTTTTGTTGAAATATACTTTTTCACTTTTTTGGTCTTTTGGAAAATGTTGTTTGTGCTGTATTTAGACCCCTTTAACAAGAAATTTGTTTTGCATGTACACGTATAAAAATTGTGGTTTTTGTCCAACGCAATCATAGGTTTGAACGTTGTTTTCAATTTAGACTTGAGAATATATATATATATATATATATGCTTAATTGGTGGAATATGCATAGACTGAAATATAAGAGAAAACAAGAGGCTCATGAGAGCCTGATATCGCTCACCTGGCTGTAATTTCAGTTTCAGGCATTTGACTTATTTGTAGATCTTACTTTGCTGAACAATTTTGTCATTTACACTTTCTCTCTTTCTATAATAATATCAAAGATAATACATAACCCAAAACTGTAAAATTTCCTAAAAATTAACTATTTCTGGACAGTAACCCAACAACAAGTTGTCTTTTTGGTCTAAAGATTACTTGACAGGTAGATCCAAACTAATCTTAACTCCATGTCACTTTTGCTCTAACTGCTATAGTTTTTGAGATAAAAGCCAAAAACTGCTTTGACCCCTATGTTCTATTTTTAGCCATGGCGGTCATGTTTGTTAATGGATCAAAACTGCGGATACAATTTATAAACCAGTTACCCTAAGGAACATTCAGTTAAAGTTTAGAAGTATTAGGCCAAGTAGTTTCAGAGGAGAAGATTTTTAAATGTTAGCAAACATGATGAACAAATTGTGTAAAATTGTCCTTAAAGGGCAGTAACTCCTTAAGGGGTCAATTGACAATTTCAGTTATATAAATCTTTTTTGTAGACCTTACTTTGCTGAACATTTTTATCTTTTATCTTCAAGATAATAACCAAAAAACTGCAAAATTTCCTTAAAATTACCAATTTAGTGGCAGTAACCCAACAATGGGTTGTTAGGTTTGTCTGAAAATTTCAGACAGGGCTGATAGATCTTGACCTATTGAACATTTTTACCACATTTCAGATTTGCTCTAAATGCTTTAGTTTTTGAGATATAAGCCAAAAACTGTATTTGACCCCTATGTTCTATTTCTAGCCATGGCGGTCATGTTTGTCGATGGATCAAAACTTTGGATACAATTTATAAATTAGATACTTGAGGAAAATTCAGTTAAAGTTTGAAGGTATTTGGCCCAGCAGTTTCAGAGGGGAAGATTCTGGAAATAGTTTACGATGACGACAAACGCCAAGTGATGGCATAAGCTCAAATGGGGCCCTTTGGGCCCTGGTGAGCTAAAAAGGGGGGATCAAACGGAAGCTCAGAAGAATTGGTTAACAAATAAATATCACATTGGGAAAATTTTGGATTTAATTTTTGTCACATTTCTATAACTTTGAGATTCTTGCATAATTCTCAAATCTTATACACTACAAATCTTTCTTTTTGGGATAGGTAATAAACATTAAAAAATGAAATGAAATCTGCAATTACTGCATGATCGAACCTTTTTATTTCATTTTTGTTAAAGATCTGTTTGAATTGAAACAATCATTTATTAAAAGCCCAAAAATTTCAAAGAAAAAATTCAGATGATGACATTTTTATAATCAGCAAGTGTGTGTATCTTAATCATATTCACATGCAGCGAATTCACAAGTGCACCGACGATGTTTGACAAGGTTTTCTACAACAAATGGTCCCTTTGTGTATCCTGGGCACCCAACTGTGAAATCAAAATCCATCTCGGATTTGGTCTATTTTTCTCTATTCTTTATATCTTTTGCCAATTATTCTCTTTTTTGTAAACACTCATTCACCATGTCCTAAACCTGATTAAGATTTACTACAATAAACGGAGCCTTCCTGTATTTGGGCACCCAGCTGTGAAATCAAAATTCATCTCCCATGGTTTTGAAATTACCTGTCTTCACAGGTAAAATTTTGTATATCAAAAACAATTAACAGACCTGTTTCACCCAATTGTAAAATTTCAATTGTCAGTAAAACATTATGTAAGATAAATGAGATTAATCTATACACATTCAGATTCATTCACATTTTCAAGAGTCACATAACGGAAAAAACTAAAAATAAAAAAAAAACATTTTTCAATGAATAGTGATAACTGCAATTCACCATGTTGATAGATATAAAATATTTTGCTTTGTTTTATTTCATTTTAAAGAGAATAATACCCCATACTGATTAAGTGAAAGCGGGAACAGTGGTTATGTACCGTCTGCTACGGTTAGATACGAAACTGAAGTTCCTAGCTGTTCAAATGAAACCACGTTACTAGTCTTAGATAAATGAACTTTGCCTTGTTCATCACAACAATTTTTTATTCATCATGTTCATTATTCATTTCTTCAAAATAATTAATAAAACACTAAAGGAAACCTGTTTACATTTTAAGAATGTCACTTTATTTTTTTTAAACAACAGAAAAAACTTATTTATAGAAATACACAAACTGAAACATGATTAAAAAAATAATCAACACAAAACCAATAAAATTAAAAAGGATGCAAACAGACCTAGGTTGCGAACATGAAAGGGGGCTAATGTGAATGGGGGTGAAGGTGATTTTGGGCCAACCGACCCGGTTTCAGAGTAAATATGCTATTTATGTAAATTCAGCTAAGGGTGCATGTAGACTCTCAGTGTCAAGACTCAAGTCAAGGCCAGCAAACTGATCCACTATCATGACTAAATTTTTAAGTATTTACGGGCACTAAATAATTGCAAATACTACAAGAAACACACACTTGGGGAAGATGATTGAGGATCCTGTTTTGATTTTTTGAGGATTCAACTCTCTGTGTCTTGTCAAAGGATTTTGCAAGAAATGAAAGCGTTAGTTGAAAATAGAGATGAATGAAGAAGTGTTTATTGCTTGTTCAGAGGAGGCATATAAAAATAACAGGAAAAAATACATGCACATAGCGTTTCAAATTAACCTGTATTTAAGAATATCATCTTTTGAGTATGCTTTGCCCAAATGAGAGCCTGCCAAACCGAATAAAGCAACGAAAACTGCAATAACTGCCACATATTGAGATTTCATGGGGGCTGCCATTGCGTCTCGTTATCCGCGAGATTTGAAAATTGAACTTCCTTTTCCGGTCTGTCGTAAATAAGTGCAGCAAGTGAGTGAAATTTCTAAATGAATCGGTTAAAATCCTGTCTTATATTTGTCATCATAATAAAATGATTAACTACAAAAGAATTTCGAAATATGAGGAATCTTTTGTTTTGCCGAAATTGTCGAAGTTCGTGTTGAACTGCATATAGTTTATACTTGAGATCGTGTAATTAAAAGTTATCATACGTATACTCATCTTTGCTTTCTCATTAGGGTTGCATACCACCCATATTTCCGATTCATGACCTACGAAACACTTTCATCATTTACACAACCATAGGGTTCATTGGCAAAGTGTTAAAATCATTTCATAGTCCATTCTTCCTACAGCTACAAACTCCCATAGTGTTTCCAGAAGAACCTTGTTAAGTATCTTAACAAATGCTTAAACTTCAGATAGTCTTTATACACACACTTACTGCCTCTTGGTCTTGTAGCAAACATTTCATTAGTACTGTACAGAAGAACGTAGGTTGATCATGTGCTGGGTCAAACCAAAGGCTTATAATTGGTATTTGTTGATTTTCTGAAAGCATGCAGGAATTATAGTTATCTCGTACCACTAAAAAAAAACTCGTACCAATGCAAACTCGTATCACTGCTAACTCGTACCACGGTAAATTCATACCATTGTAAAACCGTACCAACTTATTTAAATGCATTCACATGTATATAATTTGAAATTACAATGACCAATTTGTAGCTAATTTTCTTGTCTAATTGGATAGAGAAAACCGTGGCAGATTGGCTTTGTTGTCTCCCTTGAATAGACTCTTTTTTAAACTTTTACTGACAACTATTTGATTTAATTTTTAATCATTCCAAATCAGTAACATTGAATAGATTTGGGTATTTTTCTATTGTTTCTAAAAGGAATTTTATTTAATGAAAGAATTTAATTAGCATGGTGATTAAGAAATTACGTTCGTGTTTTTGTTTAAGTGTTCATGAAAATCTGGTATAAAGTTAAAAGAGATATTTTATTTTTTTGTATAAAGCTTAAAAAAAAATAATCATAAAACATTCGTATTTTTGTCTAAGTTTTCATTAAAATCTAGTATAAAATTCAAGTAATTCAACTTTTTTTTATTAAGTTTACCCAAAAAAAAATCATAAAACATTCGTATTTTTGAATATATTTTTATGGTACGAGTTTGCAATGGTATGAGTTCTGATTGGTACGACTTCCCAGTGGTACGAGTTTACGTTGGTACGAGTTAACTTTTTTGGTACGAGTTTACATGGTACGAGTTTACAATGGTACGAGTTAACTTGCTTCCGCATGCAGCATCAAATAGTGGGTGCGAGACAGCTCTGACCATCTACCATGTCTACAAAAAACTAGGACCATCTATGAAGACAACTTCTACCATCAATAGATCAACCCTGACTATCTATAAAGTCAACTTGGACTGTCTATAAGTCAATTCAGGTCGTTTCGTTTATAATGCCAACTCATACAAATTATAAAAATGAAGAGTTTTGACCATATAAATGATTAATGAAAAACACTTTGAAGAGAATTAATACCGTCTATAATGCAAATAATGAAAGGAGATTCCCAGATTTTACTATACAAATGATGAGAAAAACAATTCCATGAAGAGACTTCTATATAGACAATTAAAGATCTTGACATGTACATTGTATCTGTCTATTGTTGAAGATTGAGAAGGAGAGTGGTGTAATATCAACACGAGAGCAAGCTGTAAAAATCAAAAAGGATTCACTCATCAAATTGTCAAAGTGAAAAAAAACTAACAAAAAGACTTCAGACACAAACTACTTTCAAATCCATGAGTACATGTACTTGGAAGTTACCGAAAGCTTGTTCAAATTTAATTCTATGTTGAAAAAACCTGCTTTGCAGGCACAATGTAGGTCAAGCACAAAGCAGGGTTCATAATTACATCTCATTAACATGCAATGATTTTGTCCTTGTATGCATGTAATATTTGCCATTGAACATAAAACCACGACAATTCATAATCATACACAATACAATTTTTGTACATGCTATCTTTATTAAAAGGATAAGTTTCTTAAATTATTAAAAATGATTTTACTTATTTCAGGATGTTGATGCCCAAGAAGAACAGAGTTACTATTTTTGAATACCTATTCAAAGAAGGTGTTCTTGTAGCTAAGAAAGATTTTGGTGCCCCAAAGCATCCAGATATTGATGTTCCAAATCTTCATGTTATTAAAGCATTAACAGTGAGTACACAAAATCTAAATGTAATGATATAGTTCTGCCGCTCTGCATTATCCTATGAATGATCAGAGGTTGGGTATATGTCAATAAGAGATCTAGAGAATCTAAGAATACATCATCCAATCAAACAATAAGCTCGACAGTTACATATTTTTACTGTGAGATCAAATTGGCCTCCACAATTTGTAACTGCAGAAGCAAAGGCTCTCAGCTGTGCACTAGTCCGATGAGATTTTTACTAGACAAGGGCTTCGTGTTACCACTTAATGTAGCAGTCTGATTTTATCAAAATATATTACTGAAGTAATTGATGATTACATGATTTTTTTTACTATAATCGATAAAATTATGATTACATGTAATAAAAAATTTTGACCATTACAGATTGCTGTCGATTATTTGGGGAAAATGTAATCCATTACGATGACACCCTCCCTGACTGCAGTATTTGGAAAGATGTACAAAATACTCTTGTCAAAGGTGTGAACTTAAATGTTATTAAGCTGAGTCAACTGTTTACCTTGGACTTTCATGCCTTCTTGAATATTCCCTTAAGTGAAATAGCCTCTGTAGCTATGTATAACTTGCCATTAACATATAGTATATGTACAAATGTGTATTTTTTTGTAAACACATTTAATGCCTTTTCTGGGTTTTTTTTTCTAGTCTTTAAAATCACAAGGATATGTCCGAGAACAATTTGCTTGGCGTCATTTTTACTGGTACTTGACAAATGAAGGGATTGAGTATTTGAGGAATTATCTCCACCTTCCAGCTGAAATTGTACCAGCAACACTGAAAAGACAGACACGCCAAGAAGCACCAAGGCCAAGACCTAAAGGTAAAGATTTGTGTAAAATATGTTTGACAATTCTCCTTTTAATTATTGAAAGTGTGAAAATGAAATTCCATGGTTGTCTTTCTAAACAAAAAATATCAAATGGGCAATCAAAAATTATGCTGAAGAAGGACAGATAACATCCAGACCGAAAGAAAAATTTGAAAGTACACCTCACAGTAAACTAAAGATTTAGCAACTTTAAACCTATCAATAACCAGTGTTAAACCAAGGGACACTGGTAGGGTAAGCAATTCCTCCTCAAGTTGTGGCAATTGTTGATGAGTTGCTTGCATTGTGACAAGTTATTTTCATACATGTATGGTACTTGTACCTACTGCATAGAATTTTAGATGAAAAAACGACATGAAACAATATGAAAAGTTTGTTTATCCATAAGGCTTTTAACAGGAGAAAGTCTTCCACTTGTATTTGTCCTAAAGCTGCCTTCTTTTGGCAAAATAAGTTATGTAAGGGACCGATGACTCCAGATTTTTCCAAAGTCTTGACCTCATTTTTATCTTGTTAAATATTTTTTTTAATAAATTGCATCATATGTGTTGAAAAAACCCCACAAAAAAGACAGTATTAACATAAGTCAAGAAATACAAGAATAAGTAAAACTAAAACTAGTGATATTGAAAGTTTTAATGGATTTCAGTTATTATATTATGTTTCCTAAAAAATTGTATGCGTTAGTCTCATTTGTTGGATGTTTTTATAAGATAACACAGAGGTGGGTGATAAGTTATTCTAGAAAGTCGTACTTTTAGTTTTGTTAGAATTAACTTTTTATTGCAAGTCATTCAATTATCAAAATGTACTTCTATATTTACATATAGTAAATTGATCTTGTTTGCAACATGCTCCAACTCGCTAATTTAGATTTGCACATTGTTAATACTGTATGATGATTTGTTACAGGACCAGATGGACCTTCTAGAACTCCAGGTGGTGGTGCTGACCGTGCTGAATACAGAAGAGCAGCTCCAGGTAAGTGTCATACATTATTTGTATGTTCATTGTTATACCCTTACCTCAAAGATGGCAGTATATAGTGATGCATATGCTCTCTTTCCATTCCTTTGTCACACATTTGGTTTCTAGATCACATAAATAAAAGTTCTGCTTTACTAATTTTTTTGAAATTTAAAAAACAATGCCTGACCATAAAATACAGGTCAAGTTTGATATTGGTGATAATGCCATTTTCTGTTTAAGAGTTGTGCTCCTAATTTACCTAAAAGTTGTGTTTTCTGTTTATGACTAGATCAAAATGAAAATACTGCTTGACCAAATCTTTTGAAACTTTTAACACAAAGCCATGAACCACAAAATACAAGTAAATCATTAGAATTATGAACACAATGTCATGGAACATAAATACAAGTCGAGTTTTGATTTTGATTGTTGTGACATTTATTGTCTAAGAGTTTGCCCCTTAGGTACCCTAGAATTTAGAGTTTTGGGGGTGCCAGATGATAATATAAAGTACCACTTGACCAAATCTTTTGAAATATGAACACAATGTCATGGATCATTAAATACAGTTCACTTTTGATTTTGTTAGTTTGACATTTACAGCAAAATGTTTGGTTCCCTAGTGATAATATGAGTACCTTTTGACAAAAACTTTTCATTTTAGTACAATGTTAGTAAACACAGGTCCTTTCAATTGGAAATTTGGTTTTGTCATCATTAATCGGAAAGATTTTTTCTGCAATTGTATCTATATTATGATTCTAAGTTTATTTGGCCTGGATTCCATATCAAAGAATGAATTATTCAGCTATTAAAATTCATTTTTGATTGAAATTAAAAAGACATAGACAAATATTTTGGGGTTTTTTTTCCATAAAAGTTTTTGATTGACATCTGAAATCCTTCCTAAGTCACCAAATAATAATTTGATGGGAATATTGCTTTATTTGTCAGCAATTAGGTATAAAAAATACTGTGGTTGACACTGTAATTATAGAAAGATTTAATAAGAAGAATGTTATATTATTACATGTAAATGTCAATATCTTTTTAAAAATAAGACATCTGATGAATTAGTAAATCTACAAATTCTTACAGAATAAATGCTGATAGGAAACATTTTAATCTGATAAATCTTTGAAAAGCATTCAATTATTTATACAGGAGTACAGATATTTTTCACCTTGGATAAATCTGGTAAAAGTAATATCCTGCTCTGTTCCTTGGGTGGAGCTTGACTTGTTTATCAAAACATATTTATAGTCAACTTTTTATTATTGCTGGGTTATATTTCAGATTTCAATCGTTTCGGGTCCCATTTTGATATTTATAGATTTATTAATACAGTGTATGGTTTTCATCATAGATAGATATTTTACCATCTTGGCAAAAGCTTATTTCCTCAATCAAACATGTTAAAATCTTTCCCTGTTCTGACCGTTTCCTTGCCAAAATCTCAATATTTGAAACTGCCAGTGTCTGCAGCATTTGTTATTTTTGACTTGGGTCAGTTGTATTTTCATGATTATCACAGATGGCTTCTTTGGGTGCTGATGAAAAAAAGCTTTCATTCTGTATTTGAGATAGGAAGCCCTTTTATTTTAAGTTTTTTATGGCAATTAGATATGAATTTAGTTCAAATTGTGAATTAAATTATTTAACACATTAAATCAATTTAACAAAATACAGTTGATTAAGGGAATAACTGTTAAAGGCATGATAGGTTTTATTTTGATTTAGTTCATCTTGAAATACTCTATATTGTTATCTTTTTGAATATTAATAAAGTTGAATATATCATTTCCCAATATATTTCTTTCACTTGAAATTGGTATATATATGTATTTTGAAATTTCCATGGTTTGCATGTTAACTAAATTTTAATCATGGTGACTATAACTTCAGAACTTCAGAAATTGTTAAAAATTCAATATACTTTTAAACATTGTACTTGGGAGGGATTCTGAAGAATTGTTGGGTTGTAAATAAATGTATTTTATATGTACCATTTGTCAGAATATTTAAGTGGTTAATTCTGTTCATTTTTATCTACATTTTCTTTGCAATAAAATATAAGACATGTTGTATGTTGCAAGATTAGATTTCTTAACATTTTTAGAAAAAAGAGTCATCTGATATATTAAGTTGAGCTAACATACAATAAATTAATAAAAACAAAAGATGTGTATTATAGTTTTCTGTGTGACATTTTTATCATTTAATTACAGGTGGAGGTGATGACAAGAAGGCTGATGTAGGAGCCCCAGGCGATGCCAAATTCCAATTTGTAAGTTCTCACAAATTATCACATAGAACTTTTCATTTAAACATGCAGGCTGATTAACTATAATTTAAATTAGAGCTCAGGGAAAAGATTTCTGAGGTTTGGAGTATAGAAAAGTAGTCTTAAGTATGGAGTTTAAAAAGGTTTCTTGAGTGTGGAGTTTAAAAGGATTTCTGAGTGTGGAGTATAAAAAAGTAATCTAAGTGTGGAGTTTAAAAAAGTTTCTGAGTGTGGAGTATAGAAAAGTAATCAGAGTGTTGAGTTTAGAAAAGTAATCTTGAGTGTGAAATTTAGAAAATTAATTTAAGTGTGAAATTTAGAAAATTAATTTAAGTGTTGAGTTTAGAAAAGTTATCTGAGAGTGAAATTTAGAAAATTAATTTAAGTGTTGAGTTAAGAAAAGTATTCTGAGTGTGAAATTTAGAAAATTAATTAAAGTGTTGAGTTTAGAAAAGTAATCTGAGTGTGGATTTAAGAAAAGTAATCTGAGTTTGAAATTTAGAAAAGTAATCTGATTGTGGAGTTTAGAAAATTGAACTGAGTGTGGGGTTTAGAGAATGCTTCCGTGCCATATTATTTGTGAAAAATATTTTAGTACAGACTTGTCATAATAAACAAATAGTGATAGATTTTTCATATCCAAGATTGTAAAATTATCAATTTCTATGAATTTATACAGCCTATTATAATACTATAAGGATGTTTAGTTACTTATTGTACATTTTCATTTCGTTCTTTTTCAGAGAGGTGGATTTGGAAGAGGAAAGCCATCACAACCCCCACAGTAGTGATATGGACATTGAACATTTTGGGGGGAAATAAAAAAAAAAAAATAACATACATGACTTTATTTTATTCCGACAGTGGTTAGAGACATAATAACAAATTTATAGAAGTTTACAGTAACCCCTTCCAGGTTTACCACAACTCCAAAATATAAGATAATCCCCTCTTTTGCAGGAGAATGGAACAAAACTAATTACACATGGAGATATATTTGTGAAATACATAAGTTTTTTTGCCCCCTCTGTAGCTGAGGGGGAATTAAGAAAGCTGTGCCCAGAACTGCAGATACAAGTTTTTAAAGTTCTTCATTCAAACTTGAGTCTTTAGTTTGTTTTTTTCTGACACTGTTGTCTCATTTATAAAATGGCTACAGTTCATTTAATAAGTTTTATTTGAACTGCCAGTATAATCTGTTTCCACACCTTTGCATCTGTTGGAGATCATGTGTCTGAAAACTTCCAAACTTTAGAGATTGTTATTGTGTGTTAATGAGCCTATTGATTTGACAATATTTTACCTGGATTTATTGAACTTTGGCCATTTTGTATCTTTTAAACATTCTAAGCCAACTTCATCATGAACACTTGCCTTGTCATCATTGTTAGGATAATAGGATTGTTTATCATGTTTACTTGACCATATTAAACTGTTTTAGTTTTATAGCAATTTACTAATAGCAAAATGTATACAGTGTTTTGATTTTAAGTGTTTCTCTCCATCTTCTACAGTTCTACCTGTTGTCTCATCAAACTTAACTGGTCAGGGCTGTTCCAGAAAATAGTGGAGTAGAATTTAGAATTGATGCAGGGATTGAAATGAAACATACTAAATATTTTCCCTATGGAGGTGCTTAACGTGTTGTAACTTTGGTGCTGATTAATATTATAAACGGCTGCTAGTACTAAGTAGAGGTCAGCATTTACATGAAACTCTATGGAAAAATGACATTTTTATCTTCTATTTGATACTACTGGTCTGAATTTAGCAAAGCTTAGTGGAAATGTTCACAGGCTCTTGGGTATATGATGCAGATATTTTTTTTGGATTTTTTTGTTGTTGATTAAAATATTCAATTTTTATACGACCGCAAAAATTAAAAAATTTTTGGTTGTATATTGGTATGACGTTGGCGTCGTCCGAAGACACATTGGTTTTCGCACTCTAACTTTAGTTTAAGTATATGGATCTCCATGAAATTTTACCATAAGGTTCAATACCACGAAAGGAAGGTTGGGATTGATTTTGGGGGTTATGGTACCAACAGTTAAGGAAAAAGGGGCCAAAAATAAGCATTTTTGTAACTTCCAGACAATAACTTGTGTGTAAGTGTATGGATCTCTCTGACATTGTAACACAAGGTTCCATATCACAAAGGGAAGGCTGTAATTGATTTTGGGGGTAATTGCCTCAAAATTTTAGGAATTAGGGGCCAAAAAAGGGGCAAAAAACAAGCATTTTTCTAGTTTCATGACAATAACTTGTGTGTAAGTGTTTGGATATTTCTGAAATTGTACTACAAGGTTCCATATCACAAAGGGAAAGCTGGAATTGAGATTGGGGGTAATTGCCCAAAACGTTTAGGAATTGGGGGCCAAAAAGGGGCCAAAAATAAGCATTTTTCTAGTTTCCAGACAATAACTTGTGTTCAAGTGTATGGATCGCTCTGAAATTGTACTGCAAGGTACCATACCACAAAGGGAAGGCTGGGATTGAGTTTGGGGGTGATGAATCATAAGGGGGTTCAAAGAATTTGGGGGGGGGGATTTTTTTTTCTTTTTTTCTTTTAAAATTTTCCATTTTAAGTTGGTTATTTCTGATTTATATTTAAAAGCAAATTATAATGATATGGCAGGAGATACACACCAAACAGGATGTGTAAATTATTATATAATAAGTATTGTGCAATAGCAAGAAATTTTCAATTGCACAATAGCAAGAAATCTTCAATTGCACAGCATTGCGCAATAGCAAGAAATCTTCAATTGCACAGTATTGCGCAATAGCACAATATTGCGCAATAGCAAGAAATTGTCAATTGTACAGTATTGCGCAATAGCAAGAAATATTCAATTGCACAGTATTGTGCAAAAGAAGATACTTCGTATAAATTGCTTATTTCTTGATCAATTTCAATGGGGTTTTATTCTTGAATTCTTGGGGTCTTTAATATGCTGAATCTAACCGTGTATTAAGTTTTTGGATTTTCGGCCCCGTTTTTAAATTGGTCCACATTGAGGTCCAAAGGGTCCAAAATTTAACTTTGTTTGATTTCATCAAAAATTAAATTATTGGGGTTCTTTGATATGCCGAATCTAACAGTGTATTTAGATTCTTAATTTTTGGTTCCGTTTTCAAATTGGTCTACATTAATGTCCAAAGGGTCCAAAATTAAACTTAGTTTGATTTTAACAAAAATTGAATTTTTAGGGTTCTTTGATATGCTGAATCTAAACATGTATTTAGATTTTTGATTATGGGCCCAGTTTTCAAGTTGGTCCAAATCGGGGTCCAAAATTGAACTTTGATTTCAACAAAAATTGAATATATGGGGTTCTTTGATATGCTGAATCTAACCATGTATTTAGATTTTTGATTTTTGTGCCCCGTTTTTAAATTGGTCCACATTGAGGTCAAAAGGGTCCAAAATTAAACTTTGTTTGATTTCATCAAAAATTGAATTCTTGGGGTTCTTCGATATGCTGAATCTAACCATGTATTTAGATTTTGGATATTGGACCATAATAGGTGAATGTCCAATTTAAAATTTTTAAGTTCTTAGACCACATTCATTCTGTGTCAGAAACCTATGCTGTGTCAAATATTTAATCACAATCCAAATTCAGAGCTGTATCAAGCTTGAATGTTGTGTCCATACTTGCCCCAACTGTTCAGGGTTCGACCTCTGCGGTCGTATCAAGCTGCGCCCTGCGGAGCATTTTATCTATATTTATACTACATATCTATCACTACTGCGCATGTCTCGCCTAGTTTCGAGTGATTTTACCAATTCACTCGAAACTAGGTGAGACATGCGCAGTAGTGATGGATATGTAGTAAAAATATAGAAAATTGAATATTTTAATCAACAACAAAAAAATAAAAAAAAATATCTAGCATATACCCAAGCGCCTGTGAAAATGTTGGGAGATCTTTATCTTGTAAACTACTGTGTGAAAGATTTCAATACATTGTTACATTGATCTATGTATTCAAGATCTTTTACAAACAACATACGATTTGATCTGGTTTGATGAAAAACGTTTGGGTTATGCAGTGGAGGTAAAAAGTTTAAATTTACACCATGGTAGAAATGATCCAGATGAGCAAATTAAGCTCTTGATAGCCTCGTGTTGATGTAGCTACAGGCTGAGAAATTTATCCCTAGCTTAGACACTTTATCCAGAATTGTTGCTTTTGTTCCTTAATGCTATAACAGAAAACTGAAACAAGAACCAAAAACACAGTCTCTACATTTTTGTCTCGCCTTGACGGAGTCAAAAAGTGAGACTTGGGTATGCTGTTTCCGGCGTGAAAACAAAAGACTGAGGTTCATGTATACACATATGACAGTGGCGGATCCAGAAGGGGGTTCCGGGGGTTGGAACCCCCCCCCCCCCCCCCCCCCCCCCTTTATCCTGGGTTGGGAACCCCCCTTTTAAAAATGGCTGGATCCGCCCCTGTATGAACATATAAAACCTGAAAGTACACTACAGCTGTATGGTTACAGCATCTCCTGCTTCCTATAGAATCGGACCAATCATCTTTGCTAAAACAACTATTTTTTTTTTAAATGTGCTTTTTTAGAGAAGTCGACCATGTTCATGGGGTGATAATAAAGAAAACTCTTTAAAAGGATTTATAGATCATCCTGCAACTCAAATATGATGATGATAGCTGCAAAGTGTAACAAGACAATACTATATATTGGTGGGGTTTTTATGCCCCCTCCACAGCCAGGAGGGGGGCATTACCCTAGCTTGTCCGTCCCTACGTACGTCTCAAAATTATTTTCTGTTCCCTTAATTTGGTTTGCCTACCAAATGTTATGGAACTTAAACACAATGCTTATTACAAAGAAACACCGATCAAGTTCCGAATTTGTGTGGCGTCACTTTTACCGTTCTAGAGTTATGCACCTTTATTTATGTAAACGGAAAAATTACTGAATTTTTCGTTTCCGTTCTCTAACTTTATAGTTTGCCTCAACCAAATGTTATGAAACTTATACCCAATGCTTACTACAACAAAACACAGATCAAATTCGAATTTGGGTGGCGTCACTTTTATCGTTCTAGAGTTATGCACCTTTATATATATAAACGGAAAAATTGCTGAATTTTTCGATTCCGTTCTCTAACTGTATAGTTTGCCTCAACCAAATGTTATGAAACTTATACACAATGCTTATTACCATAACACACAGATCAGGTTCGAATTTGGGTGGCGTCATTTTTACAGTTCTCTAGTTGTGTCCCTCTATAACAAGCGGGGTCATGGACACATTCTCCATTTATTTTTTCTTGATTATAGTGGTTGTGAACATGTAGTAAAATTCAATGGTATAGATGGGGGTTCTTATTTATTTAAAGTTCTGTGGTTGGTGGGTGTAAAAAAAGTGCCTTCATGGGGGCATAATATTCTCTGGAACAGCCCTCAGAAATTTTAACCAACTACTGCAGAGAACTACAATCAAGTTATCAAAGTGAAAAAAATATTGCATACTTACAATCTTACAAGATTTGAATTCCACTTCATGGTTACTATACAAGTGTTGCTTTAATTTTCTACACATATATAAATTGTAATAAAGTCATTTGAAGGGCATGGAATTTATTTTAGAATTGCTATAAAAATGTCCAAGTTTAGTTTCAAACAATTCCTTTTAAAACGTTTTATTATTTTGAGAATCAGACATGGGTATGAATTAAAACATGAAATGTTCAGTAAAATATATGTGAAGTTACAATATGTTGCCCAGAAGTTTTCATGGGAGATGATCTTTTGTCAACTATATCTCACCTTGGCCTATAAGACCTATGTGGGTTTCATGGTATCTAAAACAAAGGTTTGAATCTTGTGTTCTTCTCTGTCCAGAAACATTGACACCATGGCTATATCTTGAAAACTATAATAGAAAAAGAAAATCTTACGTGGCTAAAATGCCCAGACGGGAAAGATCTATATATGTCCTGTTTGCATCATTATTATCAGATGACCCTTAAGGATTAATTGCCCTTGACAGACGATTTTTTGCTAATTTTCATGATTTATCTTGTCAACTCAAAAATTACATTAGATAGGTAAAAACTGTAAATAGCAAATATAGCCAGACATGTAAGATCTACAAAAATAGAATAAAAACGATCCGGCGATTCAATTGGGACGACCCCTTTTAGGAGTTAAAGACTTAAACATTGATTATCGACTAATTTTTGTGTCCATACCTTTTCAAAGATCTTCTCTGAAACTTTAGAATCAATTTCAACTGAATATTTGGCGATTTATCCTTACGGCGAGTAGTATAAAGTTTCTAGTAATTTTTTTCTGATCAGTGAACAAATATGGCCGTCATGGCTAAACATGGAACATAAAGAGTAAAATGGATTGTCTGGTATATATATCTTGAAAACTAAGACCTAATCTGACTTGGGGCTACAATGTATTGTTTGCTATTTTCGTGTTTTTG